AGCAGCAGCAGCAGATAGCTTCATTTGGAATAATTATGACCAGTCAACCCAAATTTTCATGCTTTATAACACACCCCCCCCCCCCCCTTTAGTGGGGTGTGAATTGGCTCATAATATAATTGAGTTTTTTATTTTTTTTTATTTGTAAAGTTTATTTTTCATTTGCGATGTTTTAAATTACTGTTTTTTTTTCCCGTGACGAGAAAATACACAATCATTATCCGAAAATATACACTAGGCCGGTAAGTTTCGTATTGTGATCCTACCCGACAAAAGATTACAAGGAGGTAAATTATCTTAGGTTGTCATTATAGCCTTTTTTGTTGGTACTTTGGTTGATATGTTGTAGTTCAATTTAGTTTTGATGATTAATTTAGAGTTGAACTATTGTTAGATCTAATATATGATGATTTTTAATATTTATTGTTTTATTTAATAGTTTGGGCTTGAGACTGTTTTTATAATAAAAAAGACAAAGCGGGGTTTGAATTTTATGGCTCGTATTTTGACGGGTCAAAATGGTGGGCTTTGGCGGGTTAGTGGGGCCCCACTTAGTATGTATACGTTATTAATATAATATTAGTGTATACATATACACCATTTTATATAATTATATATATAAATATATGTTTGTTTATTTATTTATATTGAAAAAATGTATTAGTAATTAGTGCATTGTATAAATTATTTGTTATTGACTTATAGATTAACATATTGTATATTTGATTATTTATTAGGAGTTATTACTTTATTAGCTATTATTATGTTTAACAAATTACAAAATGCATTAATGTATATGTTTAAACAATTTAAATTATTTTAGTATACACTTATTAACCTTTTTATATTAATTTTTATTTAAATTTAAAACTGTTTAAATTTGGCGGGGCGGGGCGGGCGACCTTCCTTAGGCCCGTATTTTGGTTGTTTTTTTAGCCCGACCCCACCATATGACGGGCTTTGGCGGGTTCCGCCGACCCGTTTTGGGCAAATTATTGTGTGGACCATGTTATGTGGACAATAACAAAAAGTACATTTTTAATATATTAAATGTACATTATTTTTGTACTGAATGTACATTATACAATATAATGTACACTCAGAACAAAAATAATGTTCATCCCCTGAATATAATGTACATTAACTTTTTACTGAATGTACATTATTTTTGTATTGAATGTACATTATTTTACACTAGACAAAATATGGTCCACACAACTTGTATGGACCATGACCCATACAATAATGATTACCCGTTTTGATAGCTCTATTTGTAGGTGAATAATCTATCCACACTAATTAAGTATAAATTGATCGTGTAACTACAAAGTTTCAAGTTCGATTCCTGCGAGACATGTTTATTGGATTTCTTGATTTGATCGAATTGGGTAGCTATGAACAACCTATATGATTTACCTTATTGTGATCCTTGCTGACTAGTTAGGGGCAAGCTTCACTCAATGCACACTTTTATATAGCGACTGCGGACTTTCCCGTAAATCAGAGTATAAATTGATTCAATTTTAATTAATACTATAAAGACAACTTCGTTTGATAAAAATTGTTATTTTACACTTTTTTTAAAAAAAAAATTATGACCTCATTTTTCTTAAAGGTATAATTATGACCTCATTAATTGTCTCAAAAGTAATTTTTAAAAAATATAATATTTTATTTTAAATGACAAGAGAAACTGCAGCTAACACTGCATATCTGCATTTGATAATTTTCACTCTTGTATAATAACTTGCAAACAACATAAGAGGGATAAAACACCTTAGAAGATCCTGTAATCTATAAAATGTTTGACAATAATCAAACTCATGATTTAAGTACAGAAATCATGTTTCATTCACTGGATCACCCCTTTCGAGATTAATATTACACTTTCAACTTACCCTACCAGAATGCGACGTTTCCTTTAGCAACTTAAAATAATAATGTTCTCTCAATATAAATATGCAAAATTTTAAATGTATAATCACAACTCATAGGAGCTTTTTGCTTTTTAGGGTGATGAACTATTATTACTTATTAGGCCACCAAAAGCTACCAAAAAAAAAAAAAAAAGTAAAACAAAAAAAGCTACCCGTTACTTGTGCCTGAGAAGAAGGTGGCCGGAAAGTTAGACGGCGGTCGGAGAGCTTCTTTATTTTAAATAAAAATAAATATTAAATAAAAAATAAGAAGAAACAAATATTATTGTAAGACGGGTAATATTTTTGTATTAATTGAGTAACATATATTATGATTTACGATTTTTTTTTTCAATGCTTCAATGATAACAAGAAAATCACATGAAGCGAAGTCAAAATACAACATGATGTGTGCTCACTTGGTTATGCTAGGGGCGATATTTTACAATGGTGGTAATATTTTTGTATTAGTTGAGTAACATATATTGTGATTTATGAATTTTTTTAAAAATAATAATAATAAGAATGATAACAAGAAATCACATAAAACGATGTAACAACACACCAACTAACACAGATGTTAAGAAATGGCGGAGGCCATCTTAGAAGATATCGAGGACAGGAATGCCCAATTGTTTAGAATTCACTTGCGACGCTATCTAGTTTTCACAAAATTGTGTTTTCTTGGGTGTACATGTGCTAACTGTACTGTGACAACTTTGATCCTGTATATAGCAACAATAATGTAAAAGTTTATATATATATATATATATATATATATATATATATATATATATATCAAAAAAGATACTATGTACGTGATTTATGAATCTCCTTTTTAAAAAAAAAAATATCTGAAAATAATAACAAGAAAATCACATAAACAGAAGTCACGACACACTAACACAATAGCAACAAGAATGTACAATATTTTTTATATATATATGAAGAAAAGATACTATGTGAATCTTAAATGAAAATAATAATATACAATCTTATTATAAATAGGGAAATAGATGTACAAGATTACACTGGTCAATGTTAAATAGAGATTTCCCACAAAATTGATATACTTGACAGATGTTGTGAGAAGCATGCATATATTGAAAAGGACCACCCCATTATCCTAAATTCAGACAGTTGCCCTTGTCTTCAAACCCCATTTTGAGCCTCAAAATTGTTCAACCACCTTCCCCACATCTTTCAATTTATTGTATGCTTTCATAATTATTTCTACATGCAAAATGCAATATTACTTCATCAATATATGCACTTGCCCAAAGCCCCTAACAAGGCCATTGTTGTTCTTTTCTCATTCCAAAATTTGCATTTAATGATTCAATCATTGCGAAGATGACTAGTTCAGAATAATTGGTATTAGAAAAAGATGGTGTATTTTAAAATTTGAAATCGTCCCCAACCACAAGAGATAATTAATATTTTTAAATTACAATGATCTTTTATTATTTGACAATTAATGGAATAATATGGTGCGTATACGGATAAGCTAAGCATAGAAGATTGACCCCATACTTAGATCAGGATCGAACTCCTTTGCGTGAAGGCCTAGGCGCATCTGACTATGAGTATATTATAAACTTTTCATATGTGGAAACCATATTTGGATTTGTAACAACCCGAGCTCTATTGTAAATCACAAATCGGAAAATCAAGGAATGATACAAAAGAACAAAAAGGCTAAAAAGAAAATGGGATTAGGTTCCACTTTGGTGAGTGTTTGTAAAATATGGATTAAACTCACCCTCTCCCACCCGATTACTAAAAGATGGGGAATTCAATCCCTCCCAGTCGATCGTACCGGAGAAAGGTAACAAAATAGTCACTTTTGTCATCATTGCCGTGAACGTAACCCCATTACCAAGTACCAACTCGTGTCAGACCTATTAGAGGAAGACTTAACATGTTCTCCTTACTCCGATAGTACAAATAGTGACCACATTTAGTCTAAAGAAGGACCCAAATTCTTAGACTTAATTTATTTTTCGAAGATTGTAGAACCTCCAAACTCGTTCGTATTATATCTAAATTGTACTAAAAACTTCATTATCAATACAATACTCTCTATTTATACACATCAACTATATTCTTGTCATTGTATCCCTAGGTATAGGTTCCATATATACTTGTTAACATTATCCATAGTCATATTGAACTCCAAATAATTTAGAGCTGAGCTATTGACTTCTCCCAAGTGTTATATGTCACAGACTGGCAGCTAACTCAGAGGAGAAGCCTGTGACACTGAAGAGAAGAAAAGGCATCTCTCAAGCCCAGAGGAGAGAGTAATAATGAGTAGGAGAATTAAATACTAAATCCTAAATCATTTGATGGTGTATTCAAAGTAGCTTATTAATGTCTGAACTTAGTACCTTGGAACATAAAAGATTGTGTATTTCTATGAAAGAAAGAAAGGGGATAAGTATGAGAGAGCATTGCTTTACTTGTACACAAAAGTCACAATACATTCCCAAAACATTCTTTGTTTACCATAGCAAAGCCCAAGGCATGGAAGAGAATAGTACAACTATTACTGCTGCTAAAATAACAGCACACATTCCTCCTTTATCTTTATCTTGCATATCCTTTCTCTCTTTAGCTGCTTTTTTGTTTTTTAACTTTGGTTTTGGTAGACCAAATGGCAAAGAAAATGGTGAGCAGTTAAAGATGGCATTGGGGTGCAGCAATATTTAGTCTACCAGATCTCACCAATCTTTCACTTTTGCTGACCACTGGGCACAGTCTTGGGCAGCTGACTGGGTCGTTTTGTAGTCTGATTCATGGAAAAACGACCTGCCCGTTGCCCCATCAGACTGGGCAGGACAGCCTTGGGGTTTGGATGAAAAAAAGAAAAGCAAAAACCATTCTTGAACTGTGAATGAGAGAGAGAGAGAGAGAGAGAGATTTGTGTTCACTTTATTCTGTTTTATTATATACTTTGCTGTTACTAAGAACGAGGCTGTATTTCAATGAAAGAAGAGAAAGCCCCCTAAACACCACCCCACCCCACCCCCCCACTGCAACCCAGCCCCCACCCCTCTCTATTTTTAGCCTACATTGTCTTGTGCTTTGCCTTAAGTGTCATTGTTGTCTCATTTCTTGGTCATTGTGTTTCTTAGCATTTGTTTCTTTCTCCTCTCATATATTTGTTTATATGTGAGAAGATACACTATATATTTATGAACACTGATTTCATCAATATAGAATATTAGGGAAGAGTGATTCTTGGAGGAAAAAGGGTGTTCTTTTCTTGGTGCCCAGGATGCATATGGAGATGCCCAGAAAGTTGAAACACTTGTAAGCACTGGGCAAGTTTTGGGAAAGCTCATTTGTCATTTTTGCTCTTCACAGAGTTTGGAGAAGCATGGAAAAACAGTGATCTTTGGGAAAGTTGAGGACTTTGGGGGTTGGGTTATTTTGATCTTTATCTGGATGGTTTTGAGTGGAACTCAGAGGTTGAAGAAAGAGGTGGGTTGGGTATTATAGAAGCAGAGAAGTACATGAAGGAAGAGTGAAACAATGAGAGATGACAATTCCAAGAAAAGCAAGGTTTTTCATTGCTTACCCTTACCCCATCTTTCATTCTTTGCTTTGATCATTAATTTTCTTGGGAAATGCAACTTCTGGCCTTCTCTCTCTCTCTCTTTCTTTCTGGTAATCAAATTGTGCGTTTTTTGCTGACTTCTTGTGTTCCCACTGATTGGTGAAGCTCTCCTGGTCAAAGAAACTGGTTAGGAAGTGGTTCAACATCAAGGGCAAAACTGAAGAGTTTCAGGCTGATGAAGTTGTTTATGGAGGTGAGCTTCTGATCTTCTTCTTCTTCAATTTCCTTTTCATCTTGGAATTGAATTGAAGAGCTTGATGAAATTGCAGTTAACTGTTAACCAACCAATTCATCACCTTTTTCCTCTATTTTTGTCATTATTTCTCTTTTTACTGGAAGGTCTTAGGTGGGGAGAGGGATGTGGGTAATGAAGCTGCGAAATCTGATGTTTTGTCTTTCATGTATTTCACTATTGAATAATGCAGAGTTTCTGGAAGTTTTGTCTTGTCTTAAGACTCTGAAATGGAAGCAAAATTAGTACTGTATGTGATTGTGAACTGCTGGGTCTCAGTCTAATTTGAATTCTGAAAATAAAGATGAATTCTTTTTGATTGATGAAAATGATAATTTGTTTTTCTATACTGTCATCTGTGGTAATCTTGATGATTTTGTTACCTTCCCCATTGATTGATTATGAACTGAAAGTATCAAACTTGATTTTCCCTATATTAGGTTGTGATGAGTGGAGAAATAGCTTTTCTGAGAGGGAGCCATGGACATTCAAGAAGAGCAGAACTGGTAAAACTTAAAAGAAACATTTTTTTGATGAAATTTGTGAAAGAAATTTGTTGGGTTGATGCAAGAGATCTTATCAGTTTTTCCCCTTTGAATTAACTCAAATCTGTCATCTTTAATGAGCAGAAAAATCAAGCCGGAGTATGGAGCGTCCTCGACAGAGGAGAGCTGATCTTGATCACCCTCAGATCATAAACGTGCACAACTATAGGTCGGTTCTAGGGTAGAATTCTCTGTTCGAGAATTCGGCTTCTTAGGCTTATTAGCTATGAATGTTTGCAGTTCCTACTAATAAAAACTGCGTTTTTATTGTCAGTGTCTTTGTAGCTACATGGAATGTGGGTGGCAAATCTCCTTCGAGTAACTTGAACCTCGATGATTGGCTACATTCTGCACCTCCTGCAGATATCTATGTACTTGGGTATCGCCTAAATTCTTTGTTCTGATATGATTATATGAACTTTTTTGATACTTGGTCTCTCCTAAAACACGATTTCTTTGTGTACCTTCAGATTTCAAGAAATAGTTCCACTAAATGCTGGTAATATTTTGGGGGCTGAAGACAATGGCCCTGCGAAAAAGTGGATATCTTTGATCCAGAAGACACTAAACAACGGTCCGGGTACTAGTGGAGGTAGTGGCTACTACACCCCTTCGCCCGTCCCGGATCCAATTGCAGAATGGAATGCCGATTTTGAGGGGTCGGGTAAACAGAAAGCCTCGTCCTTCCTTCCACGAAGATCATTTCAGACGCCTCAGTGCTGGAGAATGGAAAATGATCCATCAATCCCCCAGCCTCGCCTGGACCGACGGTATAGTGTTTGTGACCGGGTAATATTTGGGCAAAGGCCAAGTGACTGTTCCTCGAGTCACAGACCGAGTGACTACTCCTCGGGGCATAGGCCGAGTGACTTTGCCCCGGCTCATAGGCCGAGTGACTATTCTTCTGCTCATAGGCCGAGTGATTATTCTTCTGCTCATAGGCCGAGTGACTATTCCTGGGGACATAGGCCGAGTGACTATTCCTATTCCTCTAGCCATAGGCCTAGCGATTATTCCTGGGGTCAGAGGCCAAGTGACTTCTCGAGATGGGGCTCATCGGATGATGATTACGGGCCCGGTGATTCTCCTAGCACCGTATTATTCTCACCATCCGTAAACGGAGGAGGAGGGTATGCACCAATGGAAGAGAGCCACCGAATGCCCAGGAATACTCGATACTGTTTAGTTGCAAGTAAGCAAATGGTGGGCGTTTTCCTCACTGTTTGGGTTCGGAGTGAGCTAAGAGAACATGTTCGAAACATTAAAGTATCATGTGTTGGCAGAGGACTGATGGGCTACCTAGGAAATAAGGTATCTTTCTGAAATGTTAAGATTCTTTCGTTTCGTTTTTGCAAATAGCTAAGGAGTACTAAGTAACCACGGGTTTTTTCCAGGGATCAATTTCGATCAGTATGTCATTGCATCAGACAAGCTTTTGCTTCGTGTGCACTCACTTAACCTCGGGTCAGAAAGAAGGGGACGAAATACGGAGGAATTCCGATGTTATGGAAATCCTAAAGAAAACGAGGTTTCCACCCGTAAATGGCACGGGCGAGGAGAAAACCCCAGAAACAATCCTTCAACACGAGTAAGGCCTAAACTGATTAGATTATCCAAAAGACACTATTTTACTTCATTTTGTGAATTTGTTCTGATGTTGTTTCATATTCATTTAGTCGAGTTATTTGGCTGGGAGATCTCAACTACCGAATCGCACTTTCTTACCGATCTGCCAAAGCCCTCGTTGAGATGCAAAACTGGAGAGCCTTGTTAGAGAAAGATCAGGTTTTTACCGACATTCTCAATTGATTCTTTCTTGTTTATCGGTTAAATTCGTTGTAAAACTAAACCCACTAATACCATCTGATATGTTCCTTGTAGCTTCGAATAGAGCAGAGGCGAGGTCGGGTCTTTGTGGGATGGAAAGAAGGAAAAATATATTTCCCACCAACATATAAATATTCTCGCAATTCTGACAGATATGCTGGGGATGATATGCACCCGAAGGAGAAACGAAGAACTCCTGCATGGTAACGGCTTTTCTATGATTCTATCACATATAATCCGGTACTATATAATTGTTTCACTTCTTAACTGATCTATGATATGTTTCGTGTTTGAAGGTGTGACAGAATCTTGTGGTATGGAGGGGGTCTACAGCAATTATCTTATGCTCGTGGTGAATCCAGATTCTCGGATCATAGACCCGTATCGAGTTTATTTTCTGCTGAAGTCGAGTCGGTCCCGAGCCGCCTAAGGAAAAGCATGAGTTGTTCGAGCTCGAGGATTGAGGTAGAGGAGCTGTTGCCATACTCACATGGCTATACAGAACTCTGCTTCTTTTAAGGATATTAAGCCTCAAATTTTGGTACGTTCTCGCATAAAATTCTTGGAAGGATTGATCTTTGATAGTCTGTTTAGCATATGTTTTGAATATACTCTTAGCATATGCTAGTTTTGAAACAGCCCCTTTCCCCTTTCCCGGAAATTATAAGTTCGAATTCGTGTTGCGTTGAGAATCTTGGATGGTACTCATTTATGAATCTTTCGTGGTCCGACTTTCAGGTAGTAAAAACTTTGAAGAAACTCAATGAATGGGGGGACCGGATTTCGCCCACTAACCAAAAGAGGTCAGCGCTGCTCTTTATTCCTTTCTCGGGCCTGCTGCAGATTCCATTTCCGGTGTCCTAATCTTCCTTCATCTTTTGCTCTAATCAGGTGTAGATATTCGAGATTTTGATGGCTAACCAACCCACCCCGCAAATAACATTTGAAATACAACCGTTATCCCGCTATGGTGCCCTTTAACTCCACACGACTGGCGTTTTCCTCTGGTAAAATAAGGTAACCGGAATCTCTTTTGCAGTAATCTTGTATTGAAGGATTCTTAAGTCTTAAGAGCTAGTAATGATTGGTTACTAACGACCCAAAAAAACGTAATTTTGCAGGACTAACTGCACCAGCTAAAAGGTCTGCCGAGTGGGTAATTAACAATTCTTCTGTTTCAAGATTATTTTTTTTTGGTAGGATTGAGATTCACTGATAGGAAGAGGATGTGAAAGATGGTAAAAATAATGATTCTTTGAGTTTTTTTTTTCCTTTTTCTTGGAGGGGGTTTCCCTTTATTTCTTCATTTACCCTTTTTGTTTTTAATGCTGTGGAAAGTAAAGATCTTGGTATGTATACTCATTGATCATTGCAAAACAGAGAATGTAATCTTATTCTATGAAAGCCACAACTCTCTCTCTATCTGATCTTGGCAATGATTTTACTGAAAAGTAGTGTTCTTCATATCATCCCCTCTCATCACTATTCTTTACTGTTTTCTGCTTTTTCTTTTTTAATCTGGTGTGAGGTTAAAAGACACAAATGTGGAAAAAGTGAAAACAGATTGCACAGATTTGGCAGGTAAAGTGAGAATTGGGGGAGAAGGCATGCCTCAGAGGTCTCTTTCTTTTACTGTTTATGTTTGTCTCTCACTGATCCCACTACCAATTTGTCTCTTTTTGTTTGCCTGAGGCCTCAAGAGGGAATAGTTTTTTGGCAAAATCTACTGCATAATGCTTTGTCATATACTCACTATCTGTCTCTCTCTCTCTCTCCCCGAGACGTCGAATTGTTGGTTTAATAACCACAAGATTCCAAGTTCGATAATCAGTGACCTACTGAGACCGGCCTATTAGTTTGAGTTGGTCTAAGTTCGAGCATTATCAAAGCTAATAGCCACTTTGCACAAACAATGGTGATTTTTTGTCATTCAAGACATTACAAATACTTCTTCTGCACTACCAATCTCTTGCCTGCTGTTTGAAGAGAATTTCTTGAGATTCCACTTTACTTCTTTGACTAAATTGAGGTTCAAGAATCCACAACACTTGGACAGGACATCACTGGATTCTTCAGATCCAGTGAATAGGACAGCCCTCTGTAAATGTTGGACACAAATGCATCAGCAGAATAATCTCATTGCCTGCAGAGTAGGAGGTGTTCTCCAATTGCGTTAAAAAATATATGGGCGTTTTTACTCCGCCTTTCATTATCTGTTATTAATTTCCTAAACTGACTGTAATAGCACTTGATAGAGAATATTCAGTATACCTCCCTCTCTACCTACTGAGCACATGCTCGGTATCCGGTCGAGTCATCGAGAGGGATTACTCGACCTTGACCGACCTCAAGCTCGGTCTCGCCGACCTAAATGTGGTAGCCGAACTAGCTGGAGACTGCAGGGGCAATTCGAGGCTATGACCTATGAGACTAGTCCCGATCAGTTCAAGTCGGGACGGTCATCCCGAACAAGGATACTTGAAAATTTAGGTCTAGATTTCGGGTCTTAACCCAGCCCCATCCTAGTGAGCGATCAGGAATCTAAGCACACGTGGCCGATGAGGCACTGTTCCCTAGCTTACCAATTGACACGTGGCAGACATATTGAGAGCCTGACATGTGTCCCTTTCCATTCCCTATAAATACCCAATTTATGGCTGAAGATGGGACTTTTGGGGACCAACTACATACTTACCTTAAGCTCAGGACCCTCTGACTCACTGTCACACAACCCGAGCTCATGCACTTAAACCAACAAATGGACCATAGAAGGGTTCATCTACGACCTGATCTGCCATTTATACGTATTTGCGAAGACAATTGTATTTACCACATCAACACCTATAGTAGCAACTCGTACCAGTACTCTCTGAAGGCTATTATGATCATACAAGTCTACTTTCCTGCATTATAAACTTACCAAATATATGCAGGTTGAACTAGAATTCAGTTAAAACCAGGAGGTAATATAAACTCTTCTAAATCATGCAGAAGCTACTAAGCTAGCCATTTCAATTTGTCCAGACATGAAGGATTTGGTATTTGTACAGACAGCCCTGCCTGCCTGCATCTTTTTCACTTTGGAGACAGAAGGTACTATGCATCACTGCAGAAAAGTTTGTTTTCTTGGGCATGCCACATATGCCCCCCACTGTGAGCATATAGCCATTAATGTGCAATCCAACTAAAGCTTAAGCTTTTAGTTGAGATGGAGCACATGCTTCAATTTGGTATCAGAGCCAGACCAAAGGTCATGGGATTCGCCACTCATAAGCGACTACGGTTTACCGGTCCACGTGTTGCTTGAAACCCACCGCACAAGTGAGGGGGCGTATGAGCATATAGCCATTAATGTGCAATCCAACTAGAGCTTAAGCTTTTAGTTGAGATGGAGCACATGCTTTAATCCCCCACCACCACCACCTTAAATTCTGCTATTAGGCTGACAACCTAAGTGGTGGGAAGAAACATGAATAATAAACTGATCCATTATCATCTAAACTCTGAGAGTAAAAAAGAGGGGAAAAGGAAGACAATCCAGAAATCCTGCAGATTAATGGGGAAGCCATGATTTTGCTTAGAGATGAGACTTTCTCTTTTTCTTTTTCAAGAACTGTCTGATTCAGCTTTTTGGTTTAGCAGCAGCAATCAAGAAGAAAATTAAAGTGGAGGTATATATGTTAATACATATACATATAATACTTATATGCTGATGTGGCAAGACCACTAATGTTGGCCTCCTGCTTTTGGTAAATCTGACATTGCTTTCCTGGTCTGCCAATTTGATGGTCAACAATTTGCACTGCTTTTTGGAACCAAACACCTCACAGCTGTGTGATACCACACTTGTCATATGTATGAAAACATAGATAAAATGAGTGTATTAACTATTAGGGTTCCTAAAAAAAAAAAAAAAAAAAAAAAATCCTATAAAGGATACAACTATATAATTTTATGTGATACTTTGCGGGTCTAATCCGAGTTTAATTAATTTGAATTAGATTTATAATAGTGAGATTATCAGGTGTATTGTTGTACGTGCAAGAAAGAAGAAGATCCTTCACTGTATAATGAACCAGTATAAAGTATAAACAACACTAAAATGTAATACTGGAGATGAGTCTTAGGTAGGTGACATTCTAACAATATTATGTCTTTTGGTCATTTTCTTGGAGAGTATTACACCCAAGTCTCGAAAATTCAGCTCCAACTTGCTTAACCCTAAAGTCTTGATAGAGGTGGTACATTAATACAGTACATTACGGGATGTGCTTTAACACTACGTGTTCTTCAATGTGTTTTTAAACTGGTGTCCAAAACTCAGTTAATTTCATACCTTCTCTCGATAGGAATCGAACATGCGATCAATTGTCAGCAAAGTAAAGTTATTGAGATTGAGTGTTTTCTGGTATAATAACATATCAGTGGAATGTATGTGGTTTGTCAATTGATGGTGGTGGTGTGGTGGTGGTGTGAGAGGTGGTTTGTACTATCAACCATGTAATGGTTTTGCTTTAATTTGCTGTCTAGCTATATCATGTTCATAGATCTATCTTTTTTAAATAGAGAGATCTGAGTTTTGATTAAGCTGCACTACTTCTGAGTTGACAAATGACAACACTCTCTTAAACCAGATGCAAATGAATTTCCTTGAAAATTGTGGAGTGGCCTAATGTACTACCCATCAACATATATGCTACTATTAAAGAAACATCACTCTCTCTTGCAAACAATGGAAGTGGAAACCCAATGTGATTGTACTCTTAAACAAATGTCCAAATCACCATATTTCTTAAAATGAGTGACTGAGTAGATAGAACATGATTCTTGTACAAGATCATAAATTTTTTTTTAAACATTAAACTGTACATTCCTACGAACAAGAACCCAAACCCCCAATATTTGTGGTAAGTATCGAACCCTTGCTGGACTTCTAAGTTCTAATCCACCAGCCTCACCAGATCACAAGTTTGGTTATTGTCAAAATCATCTCAATTGATCTGTAATATATATACTCCGTATATTACTATGAGACTGACAAAAATATTACTAAATTTATCTCATTTTACCTACCAATCTACCATACTCAATATTCATTAGTCAAATTAGTTTTTTTTTTTTTTTTTTGCTTATGGGCCATTTCGAACTAGGCCTCCAGCCACATACTTCTTCGGACAGGCTTTTAATTGGGCCTTAATTAAAATTTTGGGCTTGGTATACTAATCCAACAATATGAAACCCATTTTCAAATAGAGGCCTAAATTATAATCATGAAAAATCACGGGGGTTAGTATGAATATTGGTGAAATTGTTGTTTTTGTCAATGAATTGTGGCATATTAGACAATTCAATTCCTAAATTATAATCATAGTCCTATTTAGGGTGTGTTTGCTTGTTTACACACTAATAATGAGAATCAAAATTATAACTAGTGTTTGGTTGACGACTTTTTAAAATACAACTATGTATTTTGATTATCCTTCAATTAAAAATCTAATTTCCTAATTAAAAATGAGCATCGTTCCATCTTAATGGTAATCTAATTTTTAAGATTGGATTAATGCTTTTAAATTTTTATTTTTATTTTTTTGCTCAAACATATGCATGTAACTTGCTTGGAAAATGAAATTTTTTAAAATAAAATTTACCTTAATAATGACGGATGAGAAGCATACACTATATAAGTTAGAGCGGTGAATGAAAATAAGAGATAACTGAAATTTTATATTATTATATCTTTAATTTATCAATAATTACACATTAACTATAAATTTTAACAATTTATGACTAATAGAACTACAATTATACAAAGTAATTAAGAAATTGAGTTCTAAAAAAAATGAAATTAAGTTATTCATTATCAATTTATGACGCAATGTTGTGACTAAAAATGTCATTTCCCAAAAAATATTTATTAAAAAGAAAAAGGAAAAATAGAAAAAAGAGTCTCTCGGGTTATGCTTGTTCTCCAAGACGCCTTCAGAGCTCTTATTTACAGTGTTGTATAGGGAAGTAAACGATTCGCAATCGGAGAGATCTGCGAGTAGAAGAAGAAGAAGAAGAAGAAGAAGAAGAAGAAGAAGATAATCTGATAATGGAGTGCGTATTTGGTATGGTCGGAAACGGCTTTGCGCTGGTGGTCGCCGATACCTCCGCCGTGCACAGCATCCTCGTCCACAAATCCAACGAGGACAAGATCATGATCCTCGATTCCCACAAGCTCATGGGCGCTAGCGGCGAACCCGGCGACAGGTATATATTTTGTATGCATATGTGTCTATACTATCTGTATTTTGTGATTAATTTCTGCTTATAATCTCTTTTTTTTTTTTGTGTGCAAAATTACAGAGTTCAATTTACGGAATACATTCAGAAGAATGTAGCGCTGTATCAGTTCCGCAACGGCATTCCTTTGACGACCGCCGCTGCCGCGAACTTCACCAGAGGCGAGCTTGCCACTGCCTTGCGAAAGGTCTGATTTTTGCTGAATATTAGGGTTATAAAATTTGCTGCTGTCTAAATCCGTAAATTTTTGTTGCTGATAGGTCTGTTTTATGTGATTTGTGGTTTGAGTTATGTGAGTGCAAAGGGCTAAATTAGGGTTTGATTGACATATGATAGTTTGTGCATCAATACTACCCAAATTGTGAGTGAAAAGGGCTAAATTAGGGTTTACTGTGATACTGTATAACAAACAGATCAATAATGTGAAATAATGGAAAAATTAACTTGCTATTGGGATGAAGGGTCTACATGCATTAGACTTTGAGGTTGGTGATTGAAAGGAAGATGATGTCTTTTGCCAGGAATTCTAGACAAGATTCTTATTCCTATGTCGTTTTCTCGTGAAAATGCTAACTGATGAAGCAAATAATCTGGCACTCCTGCATCTTGTATAGTGGACCAGAGAGTACTTGGGGTATTTAGCTTGATATCTATTAGTACCTCTTAAACCGAAAACAGTAGGACCTCGGGGCCTGACATCTGGAAGTTCTCAAAGTAACAATCTTGGAGTTCCACTTCCTATATAGAAAATCAGAGAATATTTTACAGAACTCCTTGACATCTTGAATCCCCACAACCCCTCCCCCTCCCCTGATCCTCTAGTCCTTTCTTCCTGAGACAGTAGCAACCCCAAGGCATAGCATCTGAACTCCTCAAATTTCTGAAATTACTTATTTATGGGATTTTATAATTTTGTGTGATATTTTTTTTGATAATGATCATAGTTTACTTCAATGTCAAGTCCAGGGCTTTAATGATTATGTAGTTAATAATGGTTGTATCTTAAAAAGCTGACTCTGACTAAGTACAAGATCAATCTGTTTGTTCAATGCTTAAAGCTGAAATATGTGAGGGGCAATAATCTATAATTTCCCTTCTCCCTTTTGACATATCTTGAAGCCCATATTTTCATTTAAAACTCAGATTCTCGCGAAGAAACCCATATTTAGTTAAATGTTTTACTTACATTTACCTTGATGTGATATGCTGAAAGTGGCATTTTATTTTATTTCTTCAGAATCCATACTCTGTGAATATCCTCCTGGCTGGCTATGATAAGGAGACAGGCCCTTCTCTGTACTACATTGACTATATTGCTACTCTTCACAAAGTTGACAAGGGTGCATTTGGTTACGGCTCTTATTTCTCACTTGCAATGATGGATAGGCACTACAGGAAAGACATGACAGTGGAGGAGGCCATTGATTTGGCAGATAAGTGCATAGTGGAGATTCGATCTAGGTTGGTCATAGCTCCACCAAACTTTGTGATTAAAATTGTTGACCAGAATGGAGCTAGAGAGTATGCTTGGCGCGAATCAATCAGCGATGCCCCTGCTCCTCCACCCGAGACTGCATAGAGTTGTTAAATCTGTTTTAACAGGCTTCAAAGAACAATATTAGACTTTGAGAAGAAGCTATGGGCTGTTGAAATGTTTTTAATATTTGAAACATGGTTGTCTTTGATTCAGTAATATGCTAGAATTGTCTTGAAAGGTTGTGAACATTGTTCTTTATTTATAGCATTGTCTAACTCTTGGCTTTTACTTTCTGTTAATGCTTCTCTCCCATTTCGGGGTTGAGACAGATATTTTGAGTTTAATGTGCTAGTTTGATATTAACTATATTCCATTTTGCCTGCGGGAGCGGTTGGTTCTGGAATCCTTGTTGACACCAGACATTGGTCTTCCCAGTTAAGAGGCCGCTGAGTCACTGTAATTTATCTCTCCACCATCTTGTTGATTGGGATGTGGGGGCTTTTAGGGCGAATAAATTTCACCTTTGTGGGCAACTATACTCAATTTTTAGCTTAATGTGAATTAAATGGGATTAGAATATTGTTTCAACTGGGGTGTTTTGTTTTCCTCGCATTCTTAAGTAAGAACATATCTTTGCTACAACTACAACAAATATATCTAGAGATGTTCACTTCAAACCAATGCTAGAATTGTACTCTGGAGATGGTAGGCTGACATAAAGAAACGAAAGAATGCATTTCAGACAGCAAAAGTTTCCAAGATCCTGCAACTGATATGTTCGACTTATTTCCCTATTTACATGCCACATCACTGAGTAAGGTGATGCTGTGGGAGTGTGGAACTAATTCTCAATAAACCATATGAATATGTTGAAAAGGAAAATAACAAATCCAAGTGAAATGCAGAGACAAATTATGCAGATCCTCCCTGTTGTGGATGCACTTCCTATAGGTGTTATTGTTATGGTGGGAGATCGAACATGAGGTCTAATAGATGAATCATCAGGAGGTTCAATAGATGAACCATCAGCTCCAATAGATGAATCATCAGCAGGTCCAACAGATGAACCATCACCAGGTCCAACAGATGAATCATCACCAGGTCCAACAGATGAACCATCACCAGGTCCAGTAGATGAATCATCAGCAGGTCCAATAGATGACCCGTCAGTAGGTTCAATAGATGATCCATCAGTAGCGTCAACAGATGAATCATCGGCAGGGGGCGGAGGACTTGATGATCTATTCTCATGTTGCTGCGGTGGGCTCATCTGAGGTGATGCAGAGTTATCCTGACCTGCAAAGTAAATGCCAAAAATTATATGCAGCTAATTGCCATTCAATCATTCATATTCATCTGTTGATTAACACAAATACTTTGCAGAGGCTTGTTCTATACTAACTTTCACTAGTGATGATATAAGCACATTTTGGTTTAACTATGCATATCTAATTATTTTTTAAAATTATAAGAATAATGAGGGAGATTTGGATTGTTGAAGAGATTAAATTCTTGAGGTTTGAGTTTTGTATTACCAGAAAGGTGTGGGGGATTCCCTGAACCTGTTGCAAGAATCCATAGATGATTAGTGATTGAACAACCAAACCAATGCTCAGAGGAAAATCACAGCTCCGGATATTGGAAAACGAATGAGAAGATCGAGGTACCTGTTATGCTCTTCAGGGGAGGGAGTGCAGTTTTTCCTGAGTTGTATCATGGAAAGATGAAATAATCAGAGCCTATTTCAAGATGTGTGAAATAAAAACAGAATGATCAGTCGTTCTACATTGTTTGATGATTCAATAAACGAAAATAACGAAGAAACAGATTGACAGGTTAGAAATCACTGAAACTTTGATCGACAACAAAGGGACTACTATTCTTCTTAGACTAACATGCATTGAAGAACCAAGGTTCACTTCACGGAATTCTTCAATGCCAGATAAACAGAAATTATACACAATTTAAAATTAGTCCAGTTCACACATTAAGTTCCACAGTCCAATATCATTGAATCCTACAAAATTCGAATTAGATTGAGATCAAGAAAAAATTTGACTAAAATGCACAGATGCATGCAGATGTATATACGAGCGAATCGCAAATGCGTATAAAACCTTTAAACTACGAACCTGAACAGAGAGCCTTGATGGAGAAATTCGCTATGCCTTCTCTATGTGTCATCGGACAAACGGAGGAAAGGGAGATCACTCTGCTGGAGTTCACCGGGAATCCGAGGATCCGAGGCCTTTGAACGAGGTAGCAAAGGCAGATCGCATTGCCGGAGGCGACGGCAAAAGTCATTTCATCGCAGCACTGCGGTGGAGGCGTGTTGGTCATGTTGTTCGGGGAGGACGAAATGTACGGCAAGCACGGCGAGAACAGCACCAACTGGTCGGAGCAGCTGCTCGGAGGCGGAGGCGGCGGAGATGACTGCCTTGCGGTAGAGAGCAGAACAGTCGAGAAGCCGAGGAACAGGCGGATGTCCATGCCGGAGCTTTCTAGGGTTCCGTTAAGCGTACGCCGGAGAGGAGGGAGAGAGAGAGAGACGGTTATTTTGTTCCGTTGAGTAAACAGATATCTGAGCTACAACTCTACAACACGGAGGTGGTTATAGGGGGTGGGAAGCTGGGCGGGAAAGTGGAGAACTAAATTACAAAAAAGCCCTCACATTTCCCTCTAATTACTCAATTGAGATTTTTTCTTCACTTCTTACTTCTACCCTCATTTTGATCCATAAATATGATTTTTTGTAACCATTTCTTGAAATTGTCATCATAAAATGTAACAATTTCTTGAATACATTAACCTAATCATCCTTTTCCCAACAATACCTTAACAAATCCCGGTTTCCAAGACCCAGATCAGTAAAAGTAACGTGATTTCTCAAGTTTATGGATGGACCCTTAAAGGCTCAATAAATTAAAAGAAAATCGTATAGTTACTATTCGTCACTTCCTATGCCTCGGGCAAGTCATGTTCAATCTCCAAAATGTCCCAAAACATAGAATGAAGAAGGGAAAAGATCAAGACAACATTACTATCTAAACATGAACCACATATAAGCAGGCATGAAGGTGACCATTTCATTTCAACTCTCAGCTCTGCTAACTCATATAAACTGGGAAGAATTCTGCTATTCAAATCATTTTATTTCTTGTTTTTCAGTACTAATAGTTACAAATCAAAGATTCAGAGATGCAAATTATGACTTTTGAGTATAAAAAATCCAAGCTAGGCAGCTGTAAAGCCAACAAAAAAGTGGTCACAAAAGGGCTAAACTCAGCACAGACACTGAAACTAATACAGCTTGAAAACAAGTGCTCCTCCAAGTACTGCCACCATAAGCAAAGGTGATGGGCACCGAGACGGGGCGGCAGATGGCGTCGGAGAGACTCGGCTGCCGGTATTTGTGGCCGGAGTTTCAGAAACTGTGGTCGGAGATGGAGGGGCATCAGATTCTGGTGCCAAACTTGGTGACAGTGGCTTCTGAACATCATCACCTGCAGATAAAACCACCAAAACTCTTAGCCATAATGCACGTGGGCCAAATCAACGCTAACCCAGAAAGTTAGCTAGTCTAACTCGTGACATTATAACCGGGTTTAGTACCTCCAGGACCTCGAGATGGCCCGGGAGCAGGTGACACAGCAGCAGCAGGACCTGTGCAGAAAATATATATCAGTTGATCAAACAATATATAATATATATACCAAATCTAATCCAAGAAAACAACTTTTTTAAGAATCATATCATACTTGAAGCTGCAGTGGGGGTTCCAGAGGCTGCAATATCAAAGAAACACAACTTAATCACACTATAACAGAAGCTAACAAAAATGCAAAAGTTAGGAGGTTTTCAAGATTATTGCAAGAACTAATTAACCTTTGCACTGGACGGAGACGCCTGGAGTCTGGCAAGCCCGGGGGAGCGAGAGGGTGAGATTGCGGTTGATGGGGACTTGAAAGGGAATGCCACCGGCAGCAATGAAGCAGAGGCAACCGACGCCATTGCCCATCACAGATTTCATGATGTTGCAGCAGTCTGAAGAGGGGGAGCCGCCGGTGGGGCTGCTGTTTGTGATGAAATTCAGGCAAGGGGTGAAGGAGGTGAGCATGGAGGCAGTGCAAGGGCTGTTGATTTGCGCGTTTAGAGGGAGAGCCAATGAAATGGCCAACAGTAGTGCAGAAATCATGCCTGGAAAAGCCATGGAGATAGATGTGTGTAGTTTTCTTGGGGTTTTGATGATTGGTTTTGTATGGATTTAAGGATTTTGTTGTGGCTGTGATGGAAGGGGAGATTTATAGGGGGGAAAGATTGAGGAAATGTGGGAAAAAATGTGGAAAAATTCTGCTGGCTTGAAGCTCAACTACCTTAACTAACCTTTGGTTTAGGTAAATACCTTAGCAAACTTCCACCTATACTAACAGTTACCCAACTCTGGTCATGGAGGTGAAAGTTTGGAAGAATGACCAGGATCGAGTCTCACCAGCGGTAGTGTGGGAGTAACCTCTCAAAGTAAGGGGCTCTTTGTGCGCAGTAAACAAAAGTCTAGCCACTGTGATTAATGTTCAGTTGAGTTACCATGATTTACATCCTCCCAAATGCTTTATCAGGCCGGGATGTGGGGGCCTTAGGGTTGAGGTTCAACCTTTTGGAAGAATGAATTCTCACAAAAACAAGCTTTTTCTGGAGGATTTGTATAAAATGTAATAATTTACAAACTATACACGAAATGTAAATCACACTATATGCAACGTATTTAATTTAAAAAATATATTTAAAAAATTAAACTCATAATTTTTAAGTGGAGAGTTAAGTTATACCAATTTGACCATTCCGAAAAATGTAAAAAACTGAAGCTTTAACTGCTGGCAAGTTTGGTTTACTCAGACGCCTCGGCGGATGATTTAGTACGATGTAGTTTATTTTATAGCTAGTAATTGAACGCCACTTGGATATATAGTTGCACCCAATCCATTTACACAAAAAGTAAAAGGGGAAAATGACAAGATGGCAAGTAGAAAGTCACAAGCTAAAAGCTATGAACTTTATATTATAGCCTTATAGGAGATCCAAAACAATATTTAATTATTCAAATTTTGATCTTCCGACCAAGTTTTTTCAACAACATTTCTTAATGGCCTGTGTTTTTTTTTTGAGGAATTAATGGTATGTGTTATTAATCACTTTAACGTATGATAAAAATAGTAACAAACAAGTTTTTAGATATACAAAGTAATGGAAGATTAATGGAAATATCATTTCTATTTGAAAATTTTAATTTTTTTGAATATGGTCTAGTATCTCAAATTTTTTAGTCATGTTTTTCACACTAAATCGCGTAGACATTCACAAGGGAAAAAACTAGGAACTTGGGGATCCAAAATACTAATTAATTATTCTTGTTGGTTTTACTATTAAGGGTTTAGGGTTTTCGGACGGCGGGCTAACACTATCGTAAAATATTTAAAGAAAAATGAGAGAGAAATTTGACAGAGATAGTGTTTGTATTGAATATACCAAAAATAGATTTGAAAACTTTTTTTTTTTTGAGAAATAAAGACAGATAGTATTAATGAGCTTCAGATGACAGAGTTCGAGATAAAACAACTGCATTAACTTCAATTCCTAATATGAAAAAAAGAAAATCCCATGCTACATATGAAAAGAATCCCGCTAAATCTTCAATTGCTACCACTGAGCACGCACCCCGTCGAGACCCATTCGCCTAAGCTAGCCGCTCGGCTGGGCCAATTGGCGAACGAGAACTAGGCTACTGAGGTCCTTTCCCTCCAACCTTCTTAGTGATCAAGTCGCAATCTCCTGACCGCTTAGGGGTACACCTGATTGAGTATCCTATTAGGGGTATCCATCAATTCTAATTTTAATCTTTTAATCAATGTTTAAAATTATTTGGAGGTGATTGATGTTACTATCACTCTAAACGTTTAGTTCAAAATAGTAACCCATAATAACATTATTCAACAATGTAACTAATAATCCAAATCTTACATAAAAAATGTGACCTCAGGATCAGTAGAAATTAGACTAAACATGACAGCATCTGTGGGATTCCCCTTGAGAAGATAATACTTCCTCAAAACCGCTTCCCTCTTGAACCCCGCCTTCTCCAACACCCGCTGCGACCCCCGATTCTCGACGTCCACCACCGCCTCCAACCGCTCCAGGTGCGCCCACTCCACGAACACCGACGCCGCCGCCATCTTCACCGCCTTCGTCGCAATCCCCTTCCCCCAGTACTTGGACGCCAGCGCGTACCCGATCTCCGCCCTGCAACTGTCGCACCCTCTAAACGGCTTCACCGTCACCGACCCCACCGCCTTCCCCTTCACACATATCCCCCGGTACCACGGGTGCGCCGCCGCGTCCTCCGCGATGTACTTCGCCGCCGCTTCCACCGACGTGAAGGGCTCCCAGGAGCAGAACTTGGTCACGTTGTCGTCCGACCGGAATTCCAGGTAGTCCTCCGCGTCCGACGGCTCTAGCGGCCGCAAGGTGATGTCGGAGTAGTCGTCGCCGAAGGCGTCCGGTGATTGCTGAGGCTCCATGGCTGAAAAGATCTCTGTGATCTGGGAAAATGGCGTAGGATTGGTCTCCCTTTATGGTGCAGGGATCAAGAATTTACCTGGAAATTGGGTCTTCACCGCGTATAATTCTGGTTACTTTGTCTCCAAGGAATCGACTTGACATGACAGTTTTGGCTGTTTCTCTGCCATCCACTTTTCTTTTAACTTTCGTTGACGGCGAAACTGAAGTCTAATATATAGCTGCCGGCCACTCTGATCTCCCCAGCCGCCTCGGTTGACTATATAGTTGACAGTCGTGAAAATTTTGTCTAAATAATTTATAAGAAGAAATAAAAGTTGAGAATAGAATTCGAGAGTACACTCTTTACGTGTAACTTCATTTTTTACTTTATTTTTATTTGACAGAAAATCACTCCTACAAAGGCTACAGTTTTACACCCTAATATATGTTGGTTATTCATAATAACCACTGATGGGGCATATATGGACCCAGCAGGCTCAAGAGGGCAGGAAGAAATGGGCCAAACGTTGGGCTTTTCGTAATAAGCCCAAAAAAGGATAAAAAGGAATCTACATTGTGGGTCGTGGGCAGGCTCGGAAGAGAATGCAGTCGAGTGAGGAGCCGAGTCCAGGGAATCGGCATGAACAAGAGTTGGCTCAGTAGATGACTGTTGCGACTTAAAGAGCGTCTTTAATGCGAAGTCAACCCAACCGTTGGGAGGACTAGTAATGGCGACCCAACGATTCTTAACTTTGATAACCCATTATTTCACATTTAAGTTTGTATTTAAATTAGCAAAGGGTGACCACCTATAAAGAGGCCCCCTTGGAGAGCGCAAATTATGCTGTGCAACCGTGTGCATCATGCATGGTGCACACGGTTGCAAAACGACACCGTTTAATATGATGGAGTAACGGTGCCATTAGTGGCACCGTTTAACTCTAGCAATCATTTTTTTTTTTATATACAAAAACTCCAATCGACGTGTAATTATAAATATATGGTTATGCAATTCTGAATATATAGTTACGAAGTTATAGATATATAGTTATGAAGTTGTGGATATATAGTTATGAAGTTGTAGATATATAGTTATGAAGTTGTACATGGATATATAGTTTTGAAATTATGGATATAGTTCTCTGTGAACAAGCACTTTAAGATTTCTGAATATGAAGTTATGTAATTATAAATGTCTAGTTGTGAAATTATGAATATATGGATATGAAATTATGAATGTGTAGTTATTATTTTTGAATGTACTGTTGTCAAATTATGAATATAAAGTTATGTAATTCGATCTGGATATATAGTTATGAATTTGTGGATATATAGGTGTGAATTTATGGATTATAGTTATGAATTTATGGATATATCATAATGTTTGAATACGAAAGGAAACCGTCTAACGCTGTTAACTACAATTCGAACAAGATTTTTTTTTTTTTTTTTTTTTTTAATGAAACGGCATCGTTTTGCAACCGTGTGCACCATGCATGGTGCACACGGTTGCACAGCATAACGATTGCTTGGAGAGTGTATGGGCAAGCCGGAGAGACCGGGGAGAGTTGCGGGAAAATTGATACAAAATCCCAAGCCAATACAAAGAATTCATAGCCACTTATCTTTTCATTGTTAGTTATTTTACTTTACCGATGAATCCACAAACCACGATTGTGTTGGACCTCCGTAGGCTCAAAAGTCCTAAAACCAACAACCACCATATTTTCCTTCTTTCACAAGCATAATTTTTATTTTTATTTTTTTTAATATAGTGACGATGAAAACCTACATCCATTACTTGAAGGTTTATCATGTCTAAACCTCGTTTTTATATAATATCCCACAAATCACACGTAATATAAGCTAATTAAGAGAGCTAAACCGCGCTAGAAAAGTCATGTGCGCACAATAAGCTCAACCGAGATGATGTTGACTAAAATAAAACTTATGACCTTCATATATAAAAATTATGCTCTATCCACTTGATCACTTCTTTCGAGACACACATATAATATTCTTGCCCAATTCAATAAGCTAATTGACGATGAATAATTATTTATTAGTGCAATCAGATCACTTAAATCAAAAGAACTTAATAACTAATCACTTAATTTGGTGCCAATTTAATATCTATTATTAGTGTTTATTAATTTGATGAAGATCCTAACATAAATTGATCTATATATAGGCCAACATCTTAATTAATGTCATGTTTCTATTACACGAATTGAGCAATGAATAAAGATTTCAAGGCTGTTAATTACTCAACGTGAACTGAGAGCATAGTTTAATTTAGTGAATTAGTAATGTTTGGACCCTCTTTTTCAGTATAGTGAACTAATACGTATTTAATTTGTACATAGAAAAAGACATATATCCATTACAGATTTACAGAGCTACTAATAGAATTAGATGCAAATTAATTACCTGAATTGATTAATGAGGGGTGCAGATATATGTGGTTCCAGTTTCGAGTCTAGAGGGGCAATCTCGACATTTTCAAAGTTAGTTGTACTTAAGTCAGCGACTCATTAAAAAAATAGAGTACCGAACTAAAGTGCCATAAAATAAATGGCCAAATTTATTTCTACTCCATTCTCAATCTTACCCTCCCGTTACCCAATTTTATCCTTGCTTTACATTTCTCCATTTATTACCCGGATTCGCCGGAAGCGGCCTCCCATCATCGCCGGCTCTCACCGTCCCACGCGACAGAAGCCACCATTTCCGGACATGTCTGTCTCGGTTCCGATTCCCGGTTCTCACCGGCGAGAGATCGATGCCGAACCGTTGTTAGATTCTCGAAATCGTAAGTTATGCTCGGAGCCTATAGAAATTTGGAGCGTGTATGCGTTTTTGAGACACAAATTGCATTTCAGATTATGTGGATTTTATTAATTTTCAATCGGATTATCACTAGGCACGGTAGAAGCATTGAGAATTATGTGTTGGCTTGTGTTCATCTTAAATTGTAACGCGAAGAAAATTTGCTAGCTCAGTTCTGTCAACAGCTTAGTGCACATGCAATCGATTGGAAAAGTTCAGCTCACGAAATCGCGGTTGGGACATAATTTAGTTGAATTGAGAAATGAATGAATGTTTAAGAATTCTAGTTATATGTGTACTTATAAAGTGAAGGTGTGTTGAAGTCTTAGTTTGAAATTGTGCAATTGCAGTTTGATAATGGTGGGAGCAAGGGGGAATGAGAAGAACTGAATGTAAAAATATGTAAAGACATGGAAATGTATTGTTAGAATAGCGAGGCCATCAGGTTAAATCTCATTGTAGAATGTTTTTTAAACTTGCTGTTGCTTTCTTTATGTTCTGTCCAATGAGCTCTTGAAAGTTTGTGTGTGTGTGTGCCTGTGTGTTCACGAGCCCTTTGAGGTAATTATTTAAAGTTGACGATAGCTATGGTCTTATGCCTTTGAGGTGCAGCAAAACGAAATAGTGCTGGATGGTGATAATCGAGGCTCAAGAGAGTAAGCATATTTCTTTGGCGGTTTAATTGCCTACTGTAAACAGAAATATAAATGCCTACCCTAGTACCCTACATGTCTTGAATCATCAATAATACTAATTTGTGCATGTTAAGATTATTTGTCTAACCTAGACTCCCATTGGAACGCTTCTTGATATCTGGTGTCCTATGTTTATGCATGTGTGGTGTTTTGCTTGTTTATCTGTACAAAATGATTTTAAATTCAGGCAGCAGGCTCCCTCAAGTCACAAAGAAGGAAATAAACTATTCTTTAAACTGTTGAAGGGGAATTTATGGAAGTTTTAGGATAATTCTTAGATCGTAGCTAATTGCGCAATCTGTTTGGATACTTTATTGAACATAAGTCATTGATAGTTAAGACCTCTCTCTGTGATCAAGGTGCAGGGAAGGGGGATGTGCTGACATCAGATTTGGAACAAGATAGAAGTGCATCCAGTAAAAGTGGCCTTCGCAAAAAAAAATACTCTATGAGCTCCATCAGCTGCTTTGGAGTTGACCTTACACCTGATAACATTGCAGTGGCTATGGTATATTTTGTTCAGGGTGTCTTAGGACTTTCCAGACTTGCTGTCAGCTTTTACTTGAAAGATGACCTGCATCTAGACCCTGCAGAGGTGTGCTGCCTTGATATGTTAAAATCTCAATATCATTATGATTGGATTTTTAAGATTTTGATTAATGAAACGAGTAAAAGTTCTAATTCTCTGAATTCATGGCTAATTTTATAACATCTTAGAGTAAGTTGATTCCAGAATTAGACTGAAATATGTTATTCAATTATGTGGGAAATAAATTCTATATAAAAGATCTGAAAATGCATTCAACGTTTCCTCTTCTTTTGGTAGCAGGTACTATAGTGTGTATCATCTTTCTTTTTAAGAGTACTAAGTAACATGAAGGCAGATAGTGAAAAGAATGGGAGGAAAGCATCTTTTCGAAGTGAACATTTATGGTCAACAATTAATATCATTTTCCTCCTTAAGAGTCATTTTTGAACTATAAAAGACAACTTTGTGAGCCATCTAAACCTGATTTTGTGAATCTTTTCATGAATTTGAATATCAATGTTCTTTTATGATAAAGTCTTTGTAGTTATAAAATATGAATAACATTTTTAGTGTTATGAGAGTTTAGGCCTTTCCTATTATGGCTTGTGAGTTGCAGATGGGACTTTGATTTTTATTTTATTTTATTTTACTACTCTCCCACTCATTTTTATTAACCATATTTCCTTTTCAGGATTGCTAAAAAATTGGCCACTATCAAAGCCTAGGACATTTAATGATCAATTTCTCAAGATTACATGTATTAAATGCAAAAGTAGGGTATTACTGTAACATTATAGCAAAAGTGAGGTGTATAAATGCATTGGACTTACTAAAACTGTGTGAGCAATAACATTGGATGGATTGAGTCAGTAGTTGATTTTTCTGATCTGAATACAAGGACTGACAAATTTTATATTGCCAACTAGACAGCAGTTATATCTGGATTCTCATCATTACCGTGGCTTGTAAAACCATTGTATGGGTTTATCAGGTGCCAATCATCTTACACTTGATGCTTCTTTCCTAGGAGGTTACTTACAGAAATTAGTAAGATCTCACGAAAAGTTTTGCCCTTGTAGCGATTCTTTCCCTCTTTTTGGATACCGGAGAAGATCATACCTGGTTTTATCAGGGCTTCTTGGAGCGCTCTCATGGACATTGATGTCCACCTTTGTTGACAGCAAGTATAGTGCCGCCTTCTGCATTCTTCTTGGATCTCTTTCTGTTGCTTTCTCAGATGTTGTAAGTGCCTTTTTGTAACTTACTTGCTTATGCAAGTTCACTTGTGATGCTATTTCTATTAAACATACCGAGCATTTAACTGTAGTTTTTTACTTGATTGGAAATGTTTACTTGAATTTTTCTGCACCTGATTCTGGAAGACTGTTGATGAAGCTATGCAGTTATAAGCTGGAAGACTGGATTATGCAACATTTTATGTTATCTAATACTTGACCATCATTCTAGTGTTTGTACAACTAATATGAGAGCACAGCTTTCAGAAGTTGATATATGTGTGCAGAGCATGTGCCAAATGAAGTTTTGAATACAATTTTGTTTTAAACTACAGCTTTAGTTTTGAGTGCAACAACAGTGGACAAGGCTAATGCATGCAAATCCATGCTGGCCTGACTGAATTGACATACAACTCTTGTTTATTTTTACAGCTTCAGCAGTTCTTCTGAAGGTGTTGTATTTTTTTCCATTTTCAATTCTGATACTAAAATGAGGCATTGTGTAGGTTGTAGATTCAATGGTTGTTGAGAGGGCACGAGGTGAATCTCAAAGCATGTCAGGATCTCTTCAGTCATTATGTTGGGGTTCTTCAGCCTTTGGAGGAATCGTTAGTGCCTACTTTAGTGGTTCCCTGGTGGATGCTTATGGCGTGCGGTATGTTGTCTTGTGTTGAGAGACATGCTTCTGATTATGTTTTTGGGGCAGACGACTCCACAATTAAATCCTTACATTACTTGCAGGTTTGTTTTTGGGGCAACAGCATTGTTACCGTTAATAACTTCTGCAGTGTCTGTTCTTGTAAATGAGCAGCCTGTGCATGGTCCAGGAAGGGGTCAGAATCTTTCTTCAGACATTAGCTTCTTTGAGAGCTCAAAGAATAGCATTTTTCAGCTATGGGGAGCTGTTAAAGAGCCCAATGTTTTTCTCCCCACTCTATTTATATTCCTATGGCAGGCGACTCCACAATCTGATTCTGCTATGTTTTATTTCACGTATGTTCATCCTAGACTTCAATCATTTTGGTGATCGTGTTATTTTGTTCTCAAAGTCTCAAGGATTTCTTTCTGATTGTAGAACAAATGAACTTGGTTTCACTCCAGAATTCCTTGGACGTGTTAAACTTGTCACTTCAGTTGCATCACTTCTTGGTGTTGGGTTGTACAATGGTTTCTTAAAGAACGTTCCCCTAAGAAAGATATTCCTTGCAACAACAATTATTGGCTCGGCTCTTGGGATGACCCAGGTTTGTGTCCCTATCAATATTTTTCTACAATTAATGTTCATTTTCCCCATTTTGTTGCTGGTTGTCAGATATATCAAATTGAAGGGGACTTGTGTATCCAATAGGTACTCCTTGTAACTGGATTGAACCGGCAGTTTGGCATAAGTGATGAGTGGTTTGCAATAGGAGATTCATTGATTATTACAGTTCTCGGCCAGGTAACATTGGTTTTCTACGTTTCCTTCTCCTGATCTATATTTCAACTCAGTGTTAATAGTAACTAGTTTCGGTTTCAGGCCTCCTTCATGCCCGTTCTTGTACTAGCAGCAAGAATATGTCCACAAGGAATGGAAGCAACTCTGTTCGCAACTCTAATGTCAATATCTAATGGTGGAAGTGTCCTCGGAGGTCTGATTGGTGCAGGTCTAACCCAAGTCTTTGGTGTGACCAGGGACAAATTTGACAACTTGGCAGCTCTGATAATTCTTTGCAATCTCAGCTCCTTGTTGCCTTTACCACTACTTGGTCTTCTGCCCAAAGACGAGCCCGATGTGAAGGAGAAATCTAATACAGATATCGAGATGAAGTCTAACTGAATTTCTTCGCCCTTTTTGAACTTCAGCTTCCATTAATCTCAGATTATGCTTTTGCCTTTTGCTGCAGTTTTAGATCTTAGAGACAACCAAAGGAGAGAACCAGAGAACATATAGTTATGCAAGTGTAAATATCCGAAAAGATTACATTATAATCGAAATGATTACTAACTTGTGGGGATACTGAAGTACAGCTTTCATAGTCCTTCGGAAACATTGCATCTTTTGAATGTTACCCACATGGCAAATACTTGCGTTTTAGTGGTATTCTCACCTAAAATTAATATATTACTATTGAACATGATTTTTGATTTATAAGTAAAATTTTTCGCTCTACTCAATAGGTAATTTATTCTTATTTTCTACCCCTGTAATCTCCTGTTGAGGTGTCTTGTCATCCTTGATTGATTTAAATAATAAAGTGGGTCACTGTTTTTATTCATTCATTTTTTATTTATCCAATAAAATTGATACATTTGGCGGAAGTTATACTCCATGAGAGTACATATATCATTTTCCTTACTCAACGAGGTTTCAATGGGAAGTATTAGACTATCATTCAAGATTCTTTATTTTGTGAAAAATGAAGCATTGTTCTATCATCATTTGATTGACTTGATAGTTATCATAACATGGAGTGCTAGTCGTGAGAGGAAAAGAGGTGAGAGAAGAGAGAAGGAACACGTGCGGGCCACGTAAAAATTTCTATTTATTTTTTCCTTTTGTTTATGTTTCTTTTTTCATTTTTTCCTCCAAAACTTTATCCTACATGTCATATTGAAAATCGAAAATTGAAAAAAAAAAAAAAACTGGCTTTGTTAGAGATGCTTTAATAGTGCAACGTGTAACATTACTCTACTAAATTGTAATGAGAAGCATTAAATTGTCACGCAAGATTCCTTGTTTAGTGAAAAATAAAACATTTTTCTACACTAAATCATATCATTTGAGGCATAATTTGATTCAAAAAATTTGGGATAAATAACAATATTTCCAAATAACGAGGTGGTAGTTGAATTTATAAACTAAACTCGCAAATCATTAGAGTATCAAACCGTAGAATATTTTCTTCTTAATAAATTAGGTAGAAGAGAGAATGCATGCGTCGACGCATCCTACGGTGGACAACGCCGGCCTCCAAGAGAAACCCGTCACGTGGACGACTGATTGTGAATTTGCAATCCACGTGGTGGGTCCCATCTGGTAAGCTACAATCCAATAGAAAGTGTTGTCACATCTTATGGCCCCACCTGGGTGTGGGTTTCAAATTTCAGCAATTGAATTAAAAACTTTGGGCACTCTACCTTAGCTGGATTCATTGATTTCCATATTTATTAGCTCTACAAACATAATCCTATAAACCAAGAATTTATCACATTGCCCTACAAATCTCACTCCCAATTCTCATTGGGTACATCTCCTCCCTATCATGTTTGGTAGCTACCTTGTTTCTTTTGAATACTCGAAAATCATATATCTGACTATACTTCGTTTCAACTTTTACAATATTTAATTAAATATCTTATATGAGCAGAAGCAAACAATTTCTTTTCTTATAAGTGTCTCTATCCTATATGAATAGTGGTTCCAGTTTGACAATTATAATATCCCTGCCCTCTTTGAGCATAATCTCATGGAGATAGAACGTAATTGAGTACCCTTAGAGTATCATGTCAACATATATTCTAATTTATAATAAATTGTCAAATAAGAAAAACGGGTCATAAGATATTAATTTAGAGAGAAATAAATTATTCTCCATATATATCACTTTTTCAACATTTGCTTTACTATTTGAAATGATGATTTATAAGATGAGACACATGCTGCTGACGTGGTATTCCAGATATACCTAATCCTATTTTAGTTTTGGTGTTTTTCATAAAGTTTCCTTATGCTATGCAGTTTGCTCATTTTGAGAGTTTATTCCTCCTTTCAATTAAAAAAATTAAGTAGTTTTACGGATATAATAATTAAAGTTAAAAAGACAAACAAACAAACATGTTTTTCATCATATTGTCTAAATCACAATCAACAATAGTACTATACATTTCATATATTAGGTTTGTAGCTAACTTGTTTATTTTGGACACCCACGCCAAATCCTAATCAACCACAACTTCTACATTTACCAAATGCCATCCAACTTTTAAGAGGTTCAAGTTATCTTTTGTGATGTTTAATTTAGTTAAAAATGCATGTACTTTATGTTTATCATATTGTGCAAAACAAAATATAATCGACAAATAGTACATCTGCTATGTTTGGTTTGAAGTTGACTTGATTCTATTGAACATCAACAAGCTAAGCTAGCCAACCATTCATAATTCCCACATAGACCAACTTTCCACTTTCAGCTTTTAATTAAGAAATGGAAGAAGCAATCTTTTCTTGAGCTTGTTAGTTGAGATAAACAAAATGTACTTGCTATATATTCACGACTGATGAGTTACGATCATTCTTGATGACATGTCTACATATTATTTTTAGTGTGATTGGTAACACTACTACATGTAATTTGCAGTCTTAATTTTATTAGTTACGATCACTCTTGATGACATGTCGACATATTGCATTAGTGTGAATTGGTCATGCTATCAGCTATATATATATAATATATTGTCTTAATTTTGTTATAAGTTACCCCATTGTACTCTTGATGACAACATGTTAACATACATATTGTAGCTAAGTTGCTAGCTTCTTTTGGACACCAAAGAGCTTATAAATGACAAGTTTCACATGCTGACACGCATATAATTAAGGCTCTGAAATTGTTGTGATTAAATTGAATTGTATCACAGTCAAATAACAGATAGAACAATGCCACAATATCCTTCAATCATGCATGAATCAATTGGACATTAAATATACAGTTGTCCCCTTTGGGTGAAGATGAAACACCAACCACCTTCCTTCAATCAAGCACTCAGTCGAATAGCTGACGATTTTAAGACCAAAACTCGTGCCCAACTCTAAAAGCCAATTTTTTTTTTTTTTTTTTTTTTGAAGTTACAGATCCATTATGTCGATATGCACCATGTTGAGAAAAACGAGATCAAGAAATCAAGAACAAAGACAAATTCATTATGTTGATACGCACTTTGTGTTGAAAACACAATATATACGTGGTTCGGCAGTGTCCATATGTCTACAGGAGCAAAAAATTCTTTTATTAATTGTGATGATAATCATCTAGGGTTACAAGTTGTAACTCACTTTTGGTACTACATTTAAAAAATTATTCATGTATTGTATCGCGGGATGCTTTAGAGTCCGTTTGAAAATCTAGAAAATGACTCATTTTTTAAAAAATAATTTAATTTTCTAATGTTGGCTAAATGTCAAAAAAAACTTCTTTTTTTTTTCATGTTTGCCTGAAAGTTAAGAAGCTTTTTCTGGTTCGTTCATTTTTTAAAAAATGAAAATATTATTTGTTATATAATAATAATAATAATAATAATAATAATAATAATAATAATAATAATAATAAGTGGTAATAATAATAATCTAAAAACTAGAAAAGGGATAATAGAGAAGATAAATACTATAAAATAAAAAATTCGAAAAATGTCTTTCTAGGAAGACATTTTAATTTCTACCAAATTGGGTCATTTTTCCGTTGACCAAAATAAATTTCTTTTCTTTGACTTTATTTTCCATCAAAACCCAAACATAGGAAATCTGGAAAATGATGTACATAAGTCATTTTTTTCAGGTTTCTAAACGAACCCTTAATAATTAATTGTGATGATAATTAATCAAAGGTTACCAACGGTAACCTTAACCTATGGTACATTTACAAATTATATAATCACTGTACTGTACAGCATAACACTACTTTGCTCTGTTACATGTCATCTTCCAGTAACATATATGAGACAAACACAACACATCGATAGTTGCTTTGATTGAATTGGGCTAGTGTTGCAGCGGTCACTGAGCTCTTCTACTCATCAAGATGTTATAATTTTTTATTCATAAGAACCGTAAATGTCATCGACATTTCTTTCATCATATGGCATAAAACAAAGTCAATGACAAACTGCAACAAATTTCATTCATACTAGTGTTTTTTTCATGTTGGAACATTATTCTACATAGGAATATATGCAATTTTATTCAAACTTCTTTCTACTAATATATACATATAATGCTAGCACATGAAGATACCCATCCACAATCAATTTGTCTTTCTCTTTGTAAGTCTTTGATAAGCAAATAAACAAATCAAATAAAAATTCAGATTCTGCACATTTTGGTCCATATTCAAAAAGCTATCACATGGGCAAGGGAAGTTGGAAGTTGAAATAGTTGTTACAACCTTCAATGATTGCACCAATTTTTAAATACCCTAAGGTGTGGGTAAGACAAGTAATATAAGCAATTCAAAAGCCCTTCACCCATAAAGCATGCATAATATATACACAATATAATTCTTTGATTCCCCTCACTCTAGGTGAAATCCGTATTGTGATCCTAACTGACTGACTCAAATTAAAAAGACCAATAGACAGTTCTCTAGGCGAAACCAGCTGTCTTGTGACCATAACTAACCGGCTCAAACCAAAAAGACCAATAATAGACAACTCCCACGAAGAGTCAAACTTGAAACCTTGTATGTGGTTACCAAGCTAACTGTCGGACCAACTTGATAGGACTGTCATATAATATAAGTCTAGCTAAACAATAATGTCATGTCTATAATAGAGCAATTTAAGGTAATGTTACTGATTGGATTAGGCATCTTATTAAAAATTAAAATGTTTACCTTGGAATAGCTAGGCATCATTATTGTTTCACATTTTCACTATAATATAGCTACCTGCATTATTAGTTTTTGTCTTTTATATCAACGCTTTATGTCCGTCCTAGCTAGTTCATGCATTGTATCATGAGGCATTTTTTTTTTTATTTTTTTTTTAAAATTTTTTTAATGTCTTTTCAAAATTACTTGTATGTATTTTATATTGCTCCATCAAATGACATGCCATTGTCTTAATTTAATCGATATGTCAATGAGGTCTCAGCTAAGTTGGTAGAGAAAGAGGTCTAATGACAACATGGTTATTATGATCTCCATTTTTGTGAGTTATTATGATCTCCATTTTTGTGAGAAGCATGAGTAGAAATTCTCCTAGTGATGTTGAGCATATAATATATGAAAGTTTAACTATCAGTTTAAATTTTTTACTTGAGATGAAACACATATTTCAATTAATTCGAATCTCCACGTCACTCAGCTTAGCATTGTAGTTGAGATGAAGCACGTACATGTTTCAATTAGTGAGAATTGAATTTTGTCTTACTATATGTTTTGAATTATGAATTTTTTTAAAACAATTTTGGTCCCGCAACTATTATGCCACTTTCAATTCTAGTTCTTGACTTTCAAAAGTATAAATTTAAATGCACAACTATAATTTTTCAGCAAAATCAGTTCTTCGCGTAACATCTTTGATGGATGGGATACTAAGGCCCAACCAATCGGTCAAGCGCTGGTTGGTCTGATGAATCCTCTCTAGGCAACTGGTCGAAACCTTGGTCAGCTAGGGCGTGCTATGGGCGACTTCAGAGGGCTGTCAGCCTGGCAGGCTGTGTAAATATTACCGATTCGTTGCTAATTAGTAGGATTCATTTATTCATTCCCAGTGTAATAAGGTCTCCTAATGTGAGAAATCTGCTTAGGGATTAGCTTCCATTTAGGACTTCGAGTCCTCTTGTATAATATCTCTTCTCAAGAGGTAAAACAGATCCAATATTTTCATAATAAACTACTTCCTTTTGCATACCATTCTTTATTAACAGTGGTGTTGACTCACCGTCGACTACCCGTTAATTGTAAAATCAACAATCTCCATTCTTCGTCTAAATATAACTAGAGCCATTTTTTTAATACAAAAAAAAAAAATTTACAAGGGTATTTATATATATTTTTTAAATAGTAAAAAATATTAATTAACTCCGGATTATATCTAGACGCAAATATCACATGAAGAATAGATTTTGCTAAAAGGATAATAATCATGCATCAAAATTATTGATTTTGTAAAAGGTGAAGAACTAAAATTGAAAATGACACAATATATGCTACGTGACACCATAGGATGACAAAAGAAAAACTCTTTAGAAGTATGCACGCCGCACTTTCATTTCTATTGAGCATTGCTTGTGGTAGTGAAGTGGAATTATTACCGAGGAAAATTGTAATAATGTTAGAATATGGTATAACTTAAAAAACACAACAATATAATGCATCAATTTATAATAGCACAATATATGTATATGATTTGACATCATCATTAACCTTATTATAAACATTACCACGAGAGCAATCATTGTCATGGATAGAGGGCATAATGCAGCTTCTATTGGGTAATAATACATGCATGTCATAATCATTATATATATATATATATATATATATATATATATATATATATATATATATATATATATATATATATATATATATATATAGATTAGCGCTCAAATGCGGCAGTGGCTTTAGGTGCGGCGGTGCGGCTATATCAACATTGTCCATTTTGCTTAATCTAACGGCAGCGGTTAATTTCTGAAGATTTAAAGATTTAAGCGCGTCCTGATAAGTGGGGGGTGTTATGGTAATTGTAGTGGTAATTTATATCGGTCGCTTGTCAGAATACACCAACAGTGTTAACAAAAAACACCAACTGTGTTAGGAAAAAGCACCACAATGAAATGCACAAATACACCAAAAAACACACAACACATCCAAAAAATACACCATATAACTCACCACCCCAATGGTGTATTTCTGAACACTGTGTGATGCTTTTATTCATACCTAATGGTGCATTCTGGTGATGCGTATCTAATTTGTGCATGTTTTTTTGGTGTGCATTTTCTAACATGGATGGTGTATATTTGTATAACTATTAGTGTACCCGCACTGACTGCATGGGAAGGCGCGGGTGCACCTGAACTTGGCACCAACACGAATCCTCAAATACATCACAGTAAGGTTAATAATGCACCAATAACGAACATAAAACACACAACACTATGATTTGATATATTCAGGTGCCCAATGACGACTTTAACCTTGCAGTTCGCGTAGTGTGAGAACGTGCGCGAAAATATCGGAAAAGCCTGGATGAATGTGATTCGTTGGATTTATCTAATCTAATGACCTACAATTAACCGCACCGCCGCACCTAAGTGCACTGCCGCACTTGAACCTTCCTCTATATATATATAGTTATAGTTTACAAATTAAACCACACATGAAAGATAAATCATATTAAAAAGACTCTGTGCGACAGACTTAATCATGTAGATATTGATAAAAATCAAATTCGTAACATTTAAGTGTGAGAATTATGCATCCAATCAATTGGCGGCCACCCAATTTGGGGTCTTTTCTCTCCTTTGTAGAATTGTAGAGAAGAAAAGGAGGGGGGGGAGGTTTCACTAATTATGCTAATATGTTTCAACTAGTGAAAGGTTAATCTTTTTTTTTTTTTTTTTTTTGGGGGGAGGTTTCACTAATTATGCTAATATGTTTCAACTAGTGAAAGGTTAATCTTTTTTTTTTTTTTTTTTTTTTTTGGATGTTTGATAGCATGAGAATATAATATAGTTACAGTTAACCGATAAATATATAAAAATTTAAAATTTTGAACACTTTTTTTTTTTTTTTCATATTGCATTAGTAGTTGCATTTTGCAAAATATGACTAATCAAACATAATTGAGTCTTTATTCGATTCTATTCCAAAACAACTCTTCTAAAAAAGTTACTAAAATTTTTAACATATCTTTAAATAAAAGACACTAATTCAGAATAAAATACCCCATTATTTCTGATAAGATTTAAAGTCCTACCTTTTATTTTTGAAATTTCACATCAACCATGGTACTAAGAGCTATTCATTGGCATCAGTGATCTAAATCTCCATTAGGTTATTATTCACATTTTCCCTATTTAATTGGCTTTGTTATTTATTTTTTCTTTTAATAACGTAGGCTTCAATTCTCCGCTTATCATATCTTGGTACCCATGAACCTGTTCCAAAGCATATGCATGAAGAAGGTAAATTTTTAGTTGTTCAAATGATTTTAAGTTATCTTGTCACCTGTATATTTTTGTGCATTTTTATAAGTCTTAATCATACTAGATGTATGATATGACTAGAAATTTGAGTGTATGAAAGAGTTGATTAGAAAAAAAAGCTATGGTTGGGAGGGAAATCAGGTGATATGTGCATGTGGACAAGCCATGTGAAGATCATTAAAAACAAAATTAAAAGGAAAGAATGAAAATCCTAAACAAAATTTCTTAAAT